AAACTGTCAGGAGGAAGGCATTGCAGCAGCACAGGGATGCAGGTTGATCCTGCACACGGTGCTGCCCGGGACAGGAGGGAGCAGGGAGCAGAGCTCCTTGCTGTACCATGGGGTGCTGGTACAGAACACACCCTTCCCCAGCAAGGGGTCTGCGAGCCGTGGGGAGCCCCCTCCAGCCCCAGACAGGTGCTTAGCACCTCGTGTTGTGGTGCGGGCACGGGCACAGCTTCTGGTTTGGGTGATGGATGGGGAAGGGAAGGAAGGCACACGCCACACCACACTGCGTCCTGGTCTGTGGGCGAAGATCATGCTGCAAAGACAGAAAACCAGGGATGGCAGGAAGAACCGTAACAGGGGAAGGAGGAGGCGGCCTTGTGACTGGTAAATGGTAAAAAGAAAACTACCGAGAGCGTACAACTATGTAAAACCCCACCATGCTCTGCTATGGGCTGGGGCTGGGGCGGGCACTGGAAAGGAGCTGCCATGGGGCATGACTGCCTGCCTTGCAGGGCAGGGGCTGGGAGGTGCCAGGCACCCTCTGCGCCTCTGGCCTGGGGCTGAGGAGCTCTGGCCCCTGCTCCGGCAGAGTGGACTGCTGCCTGGGTCCCTGCGAGCTAAAAACTGCTGCTGCCGTCTTGTCTGGCCAAGGCCTGCCACAGCTGGGCTCCCGGCGACTCCAGTGTGCTGCATCCACTTCCCCTGGGGAAAGGAGACATGTAGCTCATTGCAGGCAAATGCCAGGAAAATGAGGAGAGGATATTTGACTCTTGGAGATAAAAGCCTCATGCTGAAAGGTGTGCCAAAACCCCTGCTTTGCCTACGCCACGGAGCAGGGCGAGTCCTGTGTATTGGCAATGGCAAACCGGCTCGTGTCCGTTTGCAGGCAAGCTGTGAGTGTTTCAAAAACTCGGCGCATTGTACACTCAGCATTGTAGGATAAGCAAAAATGTTTTGGAGTACAACATTTTGCGAGTAAAGGCACATATCGGTGAAAGTTTCAGAATGGAAATGAGCCATTGGGGGGAGACAGTGATGGCACTGGGTAAGTCAAATGGGAGAAGAGGTGCAAAAGATGGTCCTTCAACCCTACCCACGCAGGTAGCTATGTTGGTAGCCGATGCCACTTTCCTCCTAGAGAGTGGAGGGACAAAAAAGGAGCCCAGAGAGGTGAGGTGCAAGTGCACTGTGTGTGTGTGGATGCAGTCTGATGGTACAACGAAGCTGATGTTAAGAGCAAGCACCCAGGGAAA